CCCTCCCTCCCTCCCTTTCTTCCTTCTCATTCCCTCCCTCCCTCCCTTTCTTCCTTCTCATTCCCTCCCTCCCTCCCTCCCTGGGGCCTCCGGCCTCCCCTGGGCCACCTCATGGCTGCTGCTCGGAAGGCCCAGCCGGAGCGGCTTCCTGAGCAAAAGAGGGGAGCGGTTCCTGGGTCAGAGGCTCGGGAGGGGGGAGCCCCCTCTGGGACGGGGCTGTGCGCCCCTGCTCTCTCCGGCAAGGCTCCTCCCTGGGGACTGAGGAGGGCCGCGTGTCTCGCTTCTCCCCAGCGGAATCCGTCATTGAGGACATGGTGGGCCCGGACTGGAGGAAGAGGTGGCTGTACTGGGTGAAGCGCTCCAAAGAGCAGGTACAGGCGCTCGGCTCTTCCTCCTGGGGGGTCTCCCCCCCCCCCAGCCGTGGCCGGCTGCAGAGCCTTGGGGGAGTCCGGCTGTGGGAGTCCGGCGTCTCGGAGGGCGGCCTTCCCTCCGGCTCCTGGCCCTTCGGGAACCTGCTTCCCAGCCGCGTCTCCTCGCCATTCCTTGCGTCCCACTCCAGGTGGGGCCTGGGCGCCTTTGGGGTCTCCCCCTGCCTCCCTCGGTGCGGCACAGGGCACGTTCCTCCTCCAGCGGGGGGGGGGGGGGGCCCCCGGGCTTTGGGGGCTCCCTGGAGGCCTCGGGGCCCCGGCCGCCCCCTCCGCCCCCCCCCCCCCGGGGGGGGGAAAGCCCGGGGTCTGGAGGGGCCCGTCTGGAGCGGCCAAAAGCTCTTCTGTCTCCTGCCTGCCAGACGATCCGCAACGAGACCAAAAACGAGCTGGAGAAGATGATGAAGTGCAACGAAGAGCATCCGGCTTACCTGGCCAACGATGAGGTCACCACCGTCCGGAAGAACCTCGAGGCCCGCGGGGTGGCCGTGGACCCCTGCTTGGTGAGGCCCCTCGCTCTGCCACTGTTCGGGGAGGGGCCCTGAGAGGCGGGAAGGGGGGCGGACACGGCTGGGCAGGGGAAACCTTGGCTGTGGCCCTTTGGATACAGAAGCAGCCGTGATCAGGAACAGAGGTGGAGGTCCTGGTCCATCACTGGAAATGCTTCAGAAGAGACTGGGCAGCCATGAGCAGGGGGTTGGACTACAAGACCTCCCAGGTCCCTTCCAACTCTGGTGACCCAGACTGGCTTCCCTTGGATCCTGCCAGCCAAGGGGAAACGGGGGGGGGGCTCCCATGGCCTTAGGAGGAGGGGCTCTGGGCTCCTCCCCTGGCCCCTGGAAGCCCCCCCCCCCGGGGTCTTCCTCCCCCTCAGAGGAATGTCTCCGTGGGGCTCAGGGCCATCCGCCCCCTCCAGGACCCTCCCAGCCCCGAAGGCCCCCCCTGCTCCCCCCCCAGGAGGGCTCCGGGGACAAAGGCTTCAGTCCCAGGAGGGCCCTGGAGGCCAGGCAGGAGGAGGAGGAAAGGCAAATGGCCGTAGCTGCGCCCCCTCCTTTTGCTCCGGGCGAAGGCCCGGGGTCCCCCCAGGGAGAAGAGGAAGCGGTCCTGCACCCAGGACGGAGGGGCGGGCAGCCTGCGGTTTGCCTTCTGCTCAGGGCTGGGGCCTCGGGAGGGGGAGGGGCCTTCCGCAGCCCAGGACTGACCCCCCCCCCGCCTGCCCCCAGATCAAGGACACCTGGCACCAGGTCTACAGGCAGCACTTCCTGAAAGCCGCCCTGGGCCACTGCAACCTCTGCCGGAGGGGCTTCTACTACTACCAGAGGCACTTTGTGGACTCGGAGGTAAGCGGGGTGGGGGGGCTCTCCCCCTGCCCAGCCAGCAGGATGTGCTGGGGGGGGGTGGCGCTCTCGTGTAGTCCCACTAGGTGGCAGCCTTGCACTGAACCTCTGGCCCAGCTGTTCTTGTCTCTTGCCAAGCGCTGGGCTGCCCAGGCCCCCCCCTCCTTTCCTGCCTCCCTCCCGACCCTCAATCCTCAGGGACCTTCGAAGGCCAGCGTTGTGCTCCACTCAGCGTCCAGGACCCCCAACCGCCTGGGGACTCTGGGGAGCCCCAGGAAAGGAGAAGCCTCGGGGGCCCTTGAGCTGAGCAGCCCTTCCTGCTCCCCGAGTTGGGGGCTTCCTTTGCAGACGTCCCACGACCCCACTAGGCCACGTCATCCGTGCTGGTGTCCTAATGACCTGGGGCGACCTAGTTTGGGTCACGGGACGCCTGCAAGGAAACCCCCCCCCCAACTCGGGGAGCAGGGAGGGCCCCTGGGCAGCCTCCTCCTCCTCCTCCTGCCAGGTAGGGTGAGCAGAGGAAGGCTCAAGGCCCAGGGGGGTCCCCAAACTAGGCCATGCTGCGGGAGAATTCTGGGGGTCCAGAAGCCTTCAAGCGGCCAAGTTTGGTGTCCCAACGGGGTGGCCTGGAAAAGCCACGTGGCCCCTCTCTAGTGGCGGCTCGAAGGATTCTGGGCTGGCCTGGGTCCCTTAGGGGCGTTTTGTTGCTGTTTTCTTTGGGATGTGTGGCTCTTTTTCTAATCCCGTGGGGGGCCCTGTTGCCATTTATATGCAGACCGATGAACGCCACCACACACACACACACACACACACACACACACACACACCCTGTGGAAAGAGAAGCTCCCTTTGTGTAGGGGAGCCGGAAGGCGGCTTTAGTTCAGCAGGTTGCAGGGGAATTTTAATAGTTTTCTCGCATTTTAACGTAGTTGTAATTCGGTGGTGGAATCCGTGCGGCAGAGCCATCTCCCCGGCGGCTGCGTCTACTGCTCTCCTGGACTCAGCCCCCCCCCCCACTCGCCTGCTGGGCTGGGCTGGGTTTGCAGCCCCCTCCTCACACCCCCACACACACACTGCCATGAGCAGGTTCCGGGCCTGACCGCTGTGGTTCTCCCTCTGGTATTCCAGCTGGAGTGCAACGACGTGGTTCTCTTCTGGCGCATCCAGCGCATGCTGGCCATCACCGCCAACACCCTGAGGCAGCAGCTGGCCAACACCGAAGGTAGGAGCCCCTCCCTTCTTCTCTCTGGACTTCTGGCGGGGGGGGGG